CTTGTATTGTTACGGAGTAAACAATGCATACAAGTGTATTATGCATGTGAACCCCACAATGAAAGTGAGGTATCACCATTCAGCATTAAGTTACTATAGAGGAACCATATCTTTAATAAGTATACTTTAAATCTGTTTGGACAAAAGCATAATCTAAATGACATCTTTTATGTATTCTCTCTCTCCATACAGTTAAGACACTTGGGTAACGACGAAGTGCACATCGTTTGGTCCGAGCACTCGCGGGACTACCGGAGAGGCATCATTCCTACTGAGTTTGGAGACGTGCTCATCATCATCTACCCCATGAAGAACCACATGTACAGCATCCAGATCATCAAAAAACCCGAGGTGAGCGCAACAGTGAACCAATAAGGACAAAAAACTGTCATTTAGTTGTTTCTGATTCCTGTCTGTAACTAGACATGTCACAAACAAATAATTTTATGAATTAAATCATTTTTTAATCTTTTTAATTTATTCAAATAGATTTGTGAAACATATTTAAAGCACCTGACTCTAGTAGAAAACTTTATCTGTGAGTAAAAGTGCAGGATGGGGATAAAATGTTGGATATACACTACTGTTCAAAAATGTGGGGCCAATTAGATTTTTTTAATTTTTTTATGTAATTCATATTTTTATTTAACAATAAGGAATTTAATTATTCAAAAATCAGTTACAATCTTTAAAAAAATAAATTTCATATAAATGTTCTTTGTACTTTCTATTCATAAAAGAAACCTGCAAAATGAATCATAGTTTCACAGCACAACTGATTTCTGAAGGATCATGTGACACTGAAGACTGGAGTAATGATGCTGAAAATTCAGCTTTGTGTCACAGGACAAAATTACATTTTAAAATATATAAAAATAAGAAACAGTTGATTTAAATTGTAATTGTTTAAATTAAATACTATTTCACAGTATTACGTTTTTACTGTATTTTTGATCAATACTTATAGCCTTGGTGATCATATGAGACTTTTAAAAAAATATTGCAAAAATTTTCGCACCTCAAAATTTTGAACGGTAGTGTAAAACACTAATAATGAACAGCGTTATATAAATAAATATTAATTTTATTACCAAAAGAACGTGACACCTTGGACTCTTTTTGACACTTGTGAATTCGTTTTTTTTAACCATTTAATTGAAGCAAATTGTCTGAATGGGCCTATAGGCTAAATGCATTCCAATTCCCTGAAACCCTCGTCCATACTTTAAACTGGAAAAAATGATTTTAATGGCTGCTGAACAGAGAGATCGGTATACAGTAAAGCAGAGATATTTGTTTGTGCATCACATCCATTTGTTGTTCTGTAAATGAGCTCAATGTTTGGTACAGGAGACAGTGGAAGCATATCTGTCTTTGGGCACTACCAGCCATTGCTTCCTGCTCAGTTATGTCAGGGCTAATTGAATGAATGGGATTCTCAGAATCGAATTCCGCTGTGGAGATGGATCCGAGACGAGAGGCTCAGTCTTTCATGCAGTCTGAGGAAATGTAGAAAGATGGAGAGATAAAGAAAGATGAGGCCTGGCTTTTATGAAAGTCCATTTAGACCCCATTTCAGTGCATGAGGGCTATTCACTGTGTCTTTTCTTCTTAATGTCAGGGATATTTTTTATGTAACAGGATGAAATACGTCGGAGGTTTTGACATTTCCATGCCTCCTTTTATTTGAAGGATAAAGCTGCTAGCTTATAGGATGCGTAAAGTCCTGTTCACAAAAAGTATGGTAAAACTAAGTATTTGCAAACAATGCTTTAGACCAAAACTATTCATTCTGAAAACAAAAGTTTACCTGAATATAATGTTCATCTGAAAAAAATTAAAATTCACTACCGTTCTAGAGTTTGGGGTCGATAAGACTAGGCTGCTTATGTTGAAGTGTTTGGGATGTGGCTTTTAATGATGAGACCTTTTTTGTAATCAGGCTCTCAAAAAGTATATAACAATTTGGATATAGATTTATCGGCCAACATATCGGTTATCGGCTTTCAAAAATAAAGAAAAATCGGTTATCGGTATCGGCCAAAATTTTCATATCGGTGCATCCCTAATTATAAGTTAAATGTAAAACAATTTTTCGAAGTTGTAATTAAAGCAAATTACATTTGACAAAAAACATTATTTCAGTGTTGTACTTAATATTTGTGCATACATTTATTTATTTAATTGTATTATTTTTATTACCGTTTATTTATTTTTATTTATTCAATATTTTTAATGTATTTACCATTATTATTATTATTAATCATTTATGGCCAATTGTATTATTTTTAAAACTATTTAAGAACTATTTAAAATGCACACTTTCTGTAGTTCACACCGCAATGTGATGTAAAGTGTAACATTATATTAATTATATTCAGTCATAATGATCAGTTTTATAATTTTATAAAATTATTTTATTCATTTACTTTCTAAAAGTAAATTATACTTGTTAATAATTTATTTATTAGTTCAGTTATTTATATATAATTGTATTATTTCTAATATATTTTATGTTTATTTTTCACATTAAATTAAACATGAAATTGAAATTAAATTAAACATGAAATTAGGTAGATTAGAAAGACTTTTGTAAAGTATACTTTTTTTTTTTTTTTTTTTTTTAGCA